CTGTGTTAAGAGAACTGATCCATAGGGAAACTATATATATATATATATATATATATATATATATATATATATATATATAGGGGATATGTGTATGCGTACAGAGGAATTATGCACTTACCTATATGTATATATATATACATATAAAGGGAAACTAAAACAGATTCCCTGTTTCTCACTTTTTTGACGACTTCATTCAAAGACTTAGTCCGGCAAACAGCATGTCCAGTTGGAGCTGGGGCTCGCCGAACAGTGTTCTGCAAGTTCCATCTGATCGGATCACATTCACGAATGCCGCGGGCGGAATTATCCATAGATTTTAAATTGATATGTTTGATTACTTAAGTCTAAAGTATATCACACCTCTAATAACGTAAGTCGTTTTCGGGCAGACGGCCAGGTGAACCTCATCACTCACCTTGAGCGGCAGGAAGGCGATGCCCACCAGGAAGTTACAGAGCCAGTTGATGAGGACGGCAATGCTCATGGCTGCCGGACGCGGACCTGTGCGACATCCGTCACGTACGTCAGCCCCATCGAGATGTGTTGGACGTGTTGCGCCGTCACGTCGCTACATCTGCCAGCTTTGGTTACTGGAGGGACGTTGGCTTTTGGTATCTTCATGCTCAGCGTGGTTAAGGCCATTTCGGTTCCAACCAGTTAAATTAGTTTTGTGATGTTTTCGAGACCAAGGGGCACACCACTGCGGCTGTCAAGGGGTCAGTGGTGAAACGCTTCCATCGCACGAGCTGATGCACTCAGCGGCGTGGAACGACTTGCGTCACGGCTTGCGGAGCGTCATAATTTGGGACCACTAGCAAAAGAGGACGTCTATACTCACACCCTCACCATGTGCGAACGAATCTGACGAACGCATGACAACAGAGCCTTCAGAGCCCTCGTCTCACAGAGCAGGCAAGCCAGTGAGCAGTAAGACTTGTGACACCGGGCTCGCCTCACGGGCGCGGGGCAGCGAGGATAAGCCTGCTCGGCACAGACGCTGCCCTGCGCGCTGACCTTGAGAAAAGAGCTCGGCCGTGATCATCCACGGGATGGAGCCGGGTCCGACGGCGAAGAAGATGACGAAGCCGAAGGTGGAGATGACCGCCAGGAAGGCGATCCATGAGATCATCTGCTTCACCAGGAAAGAGATGGTGATGAAGACGGAGAAAAAGAACATGCCGCCCAGGCCCCACAGATGTAGCGTGCGCCGGCCCTCTCGCTCAATCAGCAGGATGGAGACAACCGTCATCACCACCATCACCACGCCCACGCCCATTGTGGCGTACTTGGCGTTCTGCTCCGACAGTTGGGCGTCGCTGAAGATGTTGGTCGAGTAGTAGAACACCTGGAACGTGTCACGGCAGAATCAAGTTTCAGCGATGCAGCTGTTAGGGGTGTCAATCGTCAGAACACGATTGCGGCCCAATCATTATGGCCCATTACTTTTTAAATCACGTGAGTCCTTGAACCCTGATGAGCCATCACGCAGTAACTCGAAGCCAAGATCTATTGTTCTGCTTTTTAATGACATTATGAAACATATTTTTAATGCATAAGTTGTAACGCTTCCAACGCAGGATAAACATAAGCAATGAACGTATAGGCGCTGTCCTTAACTATCATTGGTCACAAATATCTACATTAGTGTACGGCGGAATTTGTCCATAAAGGCATGGTCAACCCTAAAATACATCGGAAATGGGGAGCAAAGCATCCCACCAGTGCTTGTCCTCCCCACCGTACCCGGCTCATCCCAGCGGATCTTTCCGCCTCCGCCTCTTCCCTTCTCTCTCACTGTGACCGTTCCCCTGGCCTCCGCCCAGCGCGCCCGTCACCCACGGCATTGATGCCGCTGAGCTGTTGCGATAGCTGCATGATGACAGAGATGAGAAGCGGCGCGCGCAGCGTGGGCGAGCGCAGCAGCTGCAGCATGGTGATGCGCGACTCGGCCTGCTGCGCGCGCTCCTCCGCCTTCATCTCCTCCACGTCGTCCTCGATGTGCGCCGTGTGTCGCAGCTGGCGCAGCGCTGCCGACACGGACGGAGCGAGGTCACACTGGTGGGTGTTACATGTGAGGTGTGATGTGAATCCCGTGTACCGACGGGGCGGGGGTCAGGGTAATGGGTGTGACATGCGAGGTGGGGTGTGAGCCACGTATGCAGACGGGGTGGGGGGTCAGACTGGTGGGTGTGACATGTGAGGTGTGATGTGAGCCCCGTGTACCGACGGGACGGGGTCAGACTGATGGTTGTGACATGTGAGGTGTGATGTGAGTCCCGTGTACCGACGGGACGGGGTCAGACTGGTGGCCGTGACATGTGAGGTGTCATGTGAGTCACGCGTCGCGGCTGGCGCAGTGCTGCCGACATCAACGATGCGTCTGTTAGACTGGTCGGGATGACCTGCGAGGATTGATGTAATTTTTTAGTCCCTGGTGACTGTCGGCATCAAAATATCTTTGATTGACGGTGGTGGACTGGTTAAATTATGATACCTAGCAACGGCATTTCAACACAGCCATGCCACGCGAATTGCGGGGAAAGAATAACGTATTCTCCCAATTTCCATTACTTGTTGGCAGGCAAAAGGACATTCTTCAGTAAGGCAATGAATTCGCATGTGCAAATGGCTTGCATTTCAACTCTTCATGATCCGTAACGACACGGTTTTTATTTGGATGTGGTCACCAGATGCGCACAGAAAACGGTCAAAGCAACATAAAGAACATTTCTATCTTATGTGCTGCAAAACCAAATGTTGTGCAGCTTGAAAGCGATGACATCAACAGGTTCTAGGCGTCATACTGTATATCGACTACAAGATGCAGGTCTGCTAACATGTCTCGGAATAAGCTAGTTTGGTGAACCTGGTTGCGCTCGATGAGCCAGCTGCAGGTTTTAGTGTGGAAGCGTGAGGCCAGTGTGTTCAGTGGCGAGGACGTCAGAACTCCCCCACGGGTAACAGGCGGCACGCCTCTCCCGCTATGCCAGGCGTCACGCCTCTCCCGCTGCAACAGGCGTCAGGACTCGTCCGCTGTATCAGGCGTCACGACTCCTCCGCCGTGCCAGACGTCACGCCTCTCCCGCTGTGCCAGGCGCCACGCCTCTCGCGCTGTGACAGGCGTCACGCCTCTCCCGCTGACCTCAAGGGTGGACTTGGACCAAAGCAGAGTGACACCCGAGGACGAGAGGGTGGACTTGGACCAAGGCAGAGTGACACCCGAGGACGAGACCCGATGCAGATCAGCACGGATTTTCGGCATAGAACGTTCAGTAAGCTGTGGCGCGCCGCTGTCAGCGCCAGCATATAGGGCGGCCGCACAGCGGAGGTTAAGTCGCGGCGACTGGGGACAGATGGCGCTACTAAACCCGGCGAGCGATTGGTCAAATGGGTCTCGGGGCGACCAGCCGAGCCGCCTCCACATACTGGCTTGCTGTGGCTGAGATAATGGAGGTTCGCAGCCCATAGCAATTCATGTTTCCCGATATTCCTATTTCACATTCTTGCTGCACGACCGCATCAACACAAGATGAATATGCGCGAATATTTGTGCGACGCAGAGGCCCTGCACGCTGCGCACAGCGAACGTTACTACGTGGATGACCAAAGACTGTTCGCTGAAAGAGAGGTTAGATTGGAAAAAACAGATGCAAATCCTAACCCACACTGCGCCCACCTCTCCTTGCTTCTTGTTCTCTCTGTCGTGTGATGAGTAGATATCTGGGAGATTCTGGGCACATGGGAAGCAGAAGCAACTGCAGAGCTGCCGGACATACAGCCAACCCTGCAGAATATTAAATCATTAAAATAATGCGCGTACAAACATTGTCCAATTTCAATAAAAGCTTAAAGAGAGAGAGAGAGAGAGAGAGAGAGAGAGAGAGAGAGAGAGAGAGAGAGAGAGAGAGAGAGAGAGAGAGAGAGAGAGAGGAGAGAGAGAGAGAGAGAGAGAGAGAGAGTGAGTGAGAGCATGACAGAAGCCCAGCGACGAAGCACAGTTGAAACGCAAATCTTCGTGGCTTTTAAGCCAGTCAATCCAACTACAACAAATTAATTCAATCTCATTATGGTGAGAAGGTCGTTTACATTCCTTACGTGAAATTTCCGCTTACCCAGCAAAAGTGGCCAGCCGTCTGCAGTTCCTAGCAGTTGGTCTAATCCCAAAACCTAAAGAAACAAAAGTTGTCAGTGTCTGCTGCCTTAGCATGTTTGGCATTCGCGAAATTTATGTATTTAAGCAGGATATGATTAACGTGGTAATCATGGCATCTTTGTTGCCAGCACAATGCCAACAATACCACCGTATCCATCTCTGATTAACTGTGATAGACCAGTCTGTTTGACTCCAGCATTTACAGCCCCATGCTTCTGAAGCCAGTGCTCTCAGCATCAGCGTATTGTAAAGCCGTTGTGTCAATGCCAGCGCGGGCGCAGCTGAACACCCACTCGCCTGGGAGAGGAGCAGCCCGATGGTGACCGCCAGCTGGTTGACGATGCCGACGCCGCCGCGCAGGTTCACCGGTGCTATCTCCGACACGTACATCGGAACCAGTGACGTACTCAAGCCTAAGGGCAAGACAGCAGCAGCGACGGCTGACGATGGCCGACACGTCAGCCGAACGGGAAAACAAAACTCTTAACTTCATCAGCTCAGATTTCTGAATGCTGAGGAGATCTTTGTGCGTAATGTTATGTCATGGCTCAGGTCAGCAAGGCTGTGTTGTTGATCAGTGGCAACGGGCTTTAGTTTCGGGAAATGCGTGCAGTGTCTTGTGGTGCTGCAGAACACAAAGAGGGTAAACTGAACCGCATAACAGTGCATTACGGCGCAATTTGCTGGCTGACACACGCAGGTGGGTCTGAGATGCATGTGGCGTTGTTTTGAAAACTGTTAATCTCGCTCTTCAGTGCACGCGCACCCGCGCAAGTTCGGGCCAGCAGCCGGATGCCGACAAGTCTGGTTAAAATGTCGGTTTCTTCGGCCAAAAAAGCTCTTGTAAGAACAAACTGAGCCTTTGGCCTCTACGGCTAACGCCGTCTAAAAAGGCTTACCAAGAGATCAGTGATTGCAAAGGTTAATTACATGGAGATGGGGAGGCAGTAAGAACCTATCCCCGAAAACTTGTCTAAGCTTAACATTATTGGTAATGTCTTGCGCTAAAAGCAATGAGCGAGGACAACGTTTTCCCGTCCGAACTCTGGAGATGTTCAACCGTTGACGTCTACACCCGTAAAGGGTCCTGAAAGAAAGATCAGGGGCCTCAAATTCTTGGAATGGTTCGTCAGGCTTGGGCAGTGGAGGCTGCATCTTTATCTATAGCTTAAGTGTCCTGGAAGAAGGGACAGGGGCCTTTGGTTTTTGGGATGGCTCTTCAGGCTTGGGTAATGAGGGCTCCATCTTCATAATATGCCCTGCCAAAATAATTCCGAAGTTTCTAAGAGCTGCCTGGAACGCCCAAAAAGACTCCGGATGCTTAAAAAAGCTTTCAGACGGGACACGTCTCCATGTGATCCTATTTAAAAGCCAACAAAGAGGCATTTGGTAGCCTAGCAAAACACCGATGGGATGCAAAAGAGCTTTTGAGGTTTAAAGGGAGTCTAGAATGTAACAGAGGCTTCTGGATTAAATGCATTTATGAGATACATGTGTATGCATTATCGGAGTTCAACAATAGTTTGGGGGTACCCAAACACTATTGGAAAGAGACCTGAAGTGATGAATCTCTGCTTTTGGTTCGTAACTCTAAAGTTACCTCACAACTCGCCCGTCTCGGAAGAAATTAAAGCTCCCCATAATCTCTGATAACAAAGAGGCTCCTGATGTGAAAGAGGCGTTATCAAAACTGAAACTAACGAGACCGCCGCCATGAATTTCTGAATGGCAGCCCAATTAATCAACAAAGACGAGTTAAGGTTACAAAACATGATTCCATGAACCCGTATGGCGGGGTTTCATTCTAGACCTCTCAGGTATCCCGATAGGCTTCTCGAAATACTTAAAGGCTTCCATTCAAAATAGAATTAATAAACATCATATAGTAGTTATCCGCTTTCCAGGCGACCATCATGGCCATCATCGGGACTTAACGACGCACTAAGCTGCTGAGGCTATATGGCGTCGCTTGCCTGCACTGCCCGTCCTTCCCTGGCAGGAAGTGCGGACACTGCAGGGAATTTCTGTACATTTATGGCGCACAAAGAGGTTGCTTCTTGCTGGTCTCCGTCAACTGGCCATATCAGCGCTCAGTTAGCAAGGAGACTGTACTTGGTAATTGGTATCGATAAAAGTTACGAGGGGGCAAGGATGGGAAAACTGGGAAATATCTACGACAATAATCATCTATCTTCTATATCGCACCTACCTATCGTATCGCACGGATGCGCAAGACAGCCCCGTCTGCAGACACCAGACTATGGCTCTCGCGAGCTCTATTGGGGGCCGGTAACTGACTGACGTCAGTGTCTGACCACCACCAGCGGCTGACGTCATCTCACTGGCTACCGATCCGCCGGTAACTACCTGGCGTCACCACCACCAGTGTCTAACGTCATCTCACTGGCTACCAATCCGTGTGACCGGACACTCACTGCCAGCGGGGCGTCAGCACTGGCAGCGAGTGGTCTGCGGGTGGTTGAAACTTTGTTTCCAAACGTAAAAGAAGTTGGAAAGTGAGCTTTGGAATGAGCATACTCAAGCCTGTTGTGTAAGTCTTGGAAAGGTGACTGATCATTATATGGCGCGTTGTAAGGCAGCGTAAAGCATACTAGTGCGTTCTATGGGAACAGACGAGTTTGCGCCGTATGAAATCTAAGTCCAGGATAAATGTGCAGACGGAGTCCCATGGCGAGAGACATTTTATCAATGTCGGCAGGCATGGTAGGTGCCGTTCGGCTTTGTCGCTTTGTGATGTGCAGACACAGAATGCTGCTGGTACGTAGGGTTCGTAGTTGATAAACGTAGTACATATAGAGCATAGGGCACGTAGTTGATAAACTCCAACATACCAAGTTTTAGCTATCAGTTGAAACAGAATGCAATCGTCTATCCGAGGTGCACAATATCAAGTGTCCTTTGACATATGTTACATTTGCACTTAAATGGCCCACTCATGCGTAGATATCCAATATCCACAGTCGTAGAGCGCGATGGCTGCCCACAAAATGTGTGAGCCTAAAGAAGGCTAACCTTACAGAAAATATAGTTACAGCTGTTAACATCATCATTTGTCAACCATGCAAATAAAAGACTATACGATATGACTGCATCAATCACATGTCTAATGTACAAGGAAAACACCTTTGACAAACCGGAAATCGTTACGGTGTCTGAGCAGGCACATCTCACAAGCCATGCATTAAATGCAACGCATATACAAGGTACATTAAACAACACTGCACGCATCGACGATTAGCGTATCAAATTATTCCTAAATATGCTTCAAACCAATGGGCATGACCGTTGTCTTTTGCCGCAGCCTGTTCTGGATGCTGTTCTTTCCTCCACCCCTTGCACTCACCACAGCTGTGCCCGATCACCAGCCTGCACTCACCAAAGTTGTACCCGATCATCAGCCTGCTCACCAGCCTGCACTCACCACAGCTGTACCCAAACACCAGCCTGCACTCACCACAGCTGTACCCGATCACCAGCCTGCACTCACCACAGTTGTACCCGATCACCAGCCTCCCGATGATGAGCATCTCAAATGATGAGGACAGGTGGCTGAGCCCCATGAGAGCTGCACCAGCCAGGCCCACGAAATCGTTGAAAATGAGGCCACCCTTCCTGTGATAAACGGCGCCGCAGTCAGCAGCCAAATAGTGGGGGCACGGCTGTCGAGACCAGGTAAACTATTAGTCCACCTGCCAGCGAGACCAGGTAGCTTTATCGATATGGACTTTTCGTGTGGGCTTATAAGCAATGCCTACAGCAAGCAATCCTTATCATGTTACGTCTATGATTGACATACGAGCATGCGAGTATGGGCATTATGAATAGTTATTAAAGTAACATCAGCAAACATAAACGTATCGCAAGGCCACAGTAACCATCGATATGTCCTTACAGTTCCGTAAAGGCTTGTGTCACAAGCGAACAATTACAGCTCCCCGTCTCTTGGGCTCGTGACAGATGCCGCTGTCCAGAACGATCAAAGCGTTTCCTTGAAACTCCATCGACGTTCACCTGCCAAACCTGTTGGCGATGTAACCACCCGAGAAGCCACCAACCATGCCGCCGATGGCAAAGATGGACACGGCCACCGACCAGATAAAGTCCTGCGTGGTGGAGGCGATCTCGGAGCCGTAACGCGACCGCCACACATCTGCGATGAATTCCTCAATGATCTGCGGCGCAGGAACACTGCGATAGTCCCTGACTGGTGACAAGACAAGCACGCGTCATCGTCGGCACACGTCTGTCCGGTAGATGTGTGCGAAAGACGTTGTTATCGGTAAACATAAGCTTGAAAGAGAGGAAGAGAGAGGGAGAGAGAGAGAGAGAGAGAGAGAGAGAGAGAAGAGAGAGAGAGAGGAGAGAGAGAGAGAGAGAGAGAGAGAGAGAGGAGAGAGAGAGAGAGAGAGAGAGAGAGAGTGAGAGGGAGGTGTATAAATAAATATATAGCACCCGCACCCGCACCCGCATCCGCACCCGCACCCGCACCCGCACCCACACCCACACCCACACCCACAACCACACCCACACCCACATCCACACCCACACTCACACCCACACCCACACCCACACCCACACCCACACCCACACCCACACCCACACACACGCAACACGCACACACACACACACACACATACACATACACACACACACACACTACACATATATGTATATATATATATATATATATATATATATATATACACTAGAAAATGACGCTATATGTGGTACTGACTTCATCACTAGATAAAGATTCAGTTCCCCAAATGAACTGTTTAGCACCATAAGACAAATTGTCGAAACAATGTGCCTATATTATTATGTAACGGTTCATTGGTCCTCCCAGCATCACCTTGCGACATGGCCATAACTACACATAATAACAATATACAAAAAGTTCGTGATCGCGTGGGGTCAAAACCACATTTCTGTATTTCTCCTGCCTAAAACAGGTCATTTGGTTTTTTTGAAATGCTGTTATCATACACAGCACTAGCGGGCACCACGTATAATAACGAACGCTGATGCAGGTTTTATTCGGCATTGTCGCCCCCCCCCCCCCCCCCCACCCGTTTTACGGCCTGTTTCTAGGTGCCGGAGGCTGTCCGTGCTACACCCAGAGTATGCCTCGCACACTCTTCTACCGATTGATTGCCGGATATTTGCCTCCCGGATGGCTGATTTTGATGGTCTCGCTCATAGGAGGACGCCGTTGCGTTGCGGATTGGCAGGAAAAGCCACCATACTGACTTAGTGCACAAAAAAGCAAACCTAAAGGTGCTGTAAACTGTTAATATCCGACACAAAGATCCGGCAATCAGCCGGCAGATGGATATGCGGGTTACACTGTAGTGGGATGGGCAAGCCCTGGCACCTAGAAATAGACCGTGGAATCGAGGAAGGGGCAACAAAGCATGGTAAAGACTTCACTAGTATTTGTCATATAACAAGGTACCCAATAGTGCTGGGCATGACAGCAGATTTTTGTAAGTTGTGATGTGCGTTTGCGAGAAACCTTATTCACACAGATAAGACGGTGGTATTAGCCTTATTCCTCGATGAAAACCAGGAGGATGGAGATATGAATGGGTTGATATTTCGGCAACATCCCTTTACCAAAGCAATAGCGGAAGTGTTATTTTTAGTTTATGTTCATGATTTATGTCAGAAGAGTTATTGTTCAAACAGTAGGACTTCTGTTGTTGTCCAATAAAGACATGTTGCCGAAACATCAACCTACTTATATCTCCATTCTCCTGGATTTTCTCCGGGGAAAAATACTATTACTACTGTCCTATCTACAGCAACTTTTCATAAAATCGAATGACCTATTTTCAGCAAGAAAAATGTAGAAATGTAAATTTGAACCGACGCGAACACGAACGTTTTGAATGTAGTTGTTAGATTTAGTTGTGCATATGTCTCGGATGATGTTGGCAGGACCAATGATACGTTACAAAATAATATGGGCACCGCTACTAACAACTTTTCCGATGATAGGGAATTCTTAATTTGGAGGATTAAGTTCTTATCTATAAAGAAAGTCAATGTCAGATATGCCCTCGTTTTCCAATCATGTTTCATGCAATATCCGCTCCATAGCTTGATTCATCCGAAAAAACGCACGAAACATTAGAAGCGTTATTCAAATTAGCTCATAACCGGCCGACCGGTTATAACACCGTTAGTTAAAGTCGAACTCATTCATCATTTAGATACAGCCTGAGTGAAAACAACACTTACAATATTGTAGGGACAAAAGGGACACTTTCACTCTCAAACCCCAAGAGACTTCTAAGAATGTAACCAAGCTACATAGTTTGGGCGGCTTCCTCGCACTTGCGCAAGTCTCCCCACGGCCTTGCCTTTAAAGCAGCCAGCAGTCTACAACACATTCAACGATGCACTGAAAGTTGTTTGCCTCTATTCCACGAGTGATGACACAGCATTTTCGTATTAAGCAACTATCGTTACTTAATCTTGCTTATGTTTATGCTTATCTCTTAATGCCTGTAATTGCTTATCGTATCGTAGCAACAACAGTTCGATAGATCGCTCACGGAGTGTTCAACAGAGTGTTCCGAAGATCCTCTATTACACCTTCAATAGCCCTGTTCACAACGCACAACTCGTGTAAGCTACCTAGGTGACTTCCATGGGCGAATCCAGGTTCGCCTTGCCGACAAATGCAGTAATGCGATGCAATTCGTTTCATAAAATGTTTTCCCCTGGCGTCCAACTAAAATGTTCAGACGTTCTTCCGTAGTTGTCCAGCAAAATGTGTTTCCTAAAACACTCATTCCTCTCTCGCAACCAGCCTGGGCCTACTTCCGCCCCTGCCCGTTTGCGCTGGCAACCGTCGCCCGAAAGTGGCCAGATCGTAAGCTACCTAGGTGGGTCACGTTTTCGATCGATCTCTGAGGAAAATGACAAGGTAGCTCCAGTACTACGATCGACTACGGATGAAGAGGAGAAAACTTTGCAACTATGCGTGTATCTTACGGCATCTCGTTGCGAAAGCTGGCGAAAGCTGGCGGAAGCAGCGGTTATGAAACAAGAGGATTGACGTTTGTCTGCGTTGTTAGATAGCATTTGGTTTGCGACGTGTTTGCAAGTGATCGTTTGGTACGTAATTTAAAGATAACATTATCTTTAAATCCAATTTGAAATTAATTTTGGATAAATCAGTCCCTTAGGTACCTTAATTAACTTCCTGTTGTGCTGATGCTGCTGTCAGACTGTCGGTCACATAACAAGAGGATGGTGGCTGACTATTTATGTAGTACGCACCTTTCTTTGTGCGGAAATAGCAGTTGGGCGGTGTTCAAAGGCAAAATTTCTGCTGAAATTAGGAGGGCTGGCTAAGACCTCAGCTTAATAGAGGACCTACAGTTTTCTAGGATTTGCTATTGAGACCTTGTGTGGAGTCCCCAGGAATCCTTGAGTTTACCTGGCGCTTAATTATACCTCTAAGCATCCACTTCGAGCCCTAGACATTGTAATGTTCTGAAGGGAAGCTGCTGCCACCGATCAGGTTGTCCACGTGGCGGCGCTAGTGTTGCCCCCCGCCTGATTTGAGGCAATACAGTTCTAAGCCCGGATCCACCGTGTATGGGCGCTCCGCCGAGCCGTGTACCGACAGAGCACGGACAGAGAACATAACATGGCGCGGTCGGTCTGTGACTAGTGTACTGTAACGTGTCGGTCTGTAACATGTGGACAGCGGTGATCGGCGTTGGTGAGCGTCAGTGAGTGGACAGATACGACGTGCTTGTGATAGTGATTGCGCTGTTACGGCATCCGGCGACAGGATGAGCAGCGTCTCCAGCAACGGGGGCGGGGGGCGGAAGCCGTCGGAAGTGCAGCTCCTGATCGACATGTTCAACCGTCAGATGGAAGCATCGCAGCAGCGGGAGGAACGCCTCATCCAGCTTCTGGAGCGGATGGCCCCATCGTCAGCGCAGCATTCAACAGGCGACGACGGCGCGACTGGTGGCGATGGCGGCGTGCCTGCTCAGCGTGCGCCTCTGCTGGCCGCCTCGGGGCAGGATCTGCCCAGCCCGACAGGCCATCAGAGAGGTGACGGCGACCCGACGCTGCGTGCGCCGCTGCCACCCACCTTAGCGAGTTCCCCGAGAGGTCGCGGCGGGCCGATCACTCCGGGGCAGGATTCGATCACCCCGGCCGGTCACCCGAGTGGTGAGGGCGGCGTGACCCACCCCGGCCCGGCACTGCGTATGCCTCTGCCGCCCGGCCCGGCTGGTCAGCCGAGCGGTGACAGCGGCGCAGCCGGTCCGGGCCCGGTGCTGCGAGGACCCCAGCCGCCCGCCCCAGGGCACGTGCGGTGCGTGTCGGTCGGCTATGACCCGGTGGGCGGTGACCGGGGCCACCGTGAGCCCGACCGGGCGAGGTCACGGTCGCGGCTCCCAGCAGCGGCAACACCGGCCCCGCGGCTGATTGCGTCTGCTTCGTTGAAGGAGTTTGAGGCGTGGAGAAACAAGTTTGACGGCTACCGTCTACTCGTGGGCCTGGACGACCTGCCCCAAGCGGAGCAGAGGGCTGCTTTGCTCGCGCTGCTGGATGACGACTGGGTCAGGGTTGTCCGATTCGGGCTGCTTCAGTCGACGGGCGTGACGATCGGCGAGATCGTCCTGGACATGCAGCAGCATCTACGTCGCCAGCGCAACATCATCATCGATCGTCGTGACTTCAACACGCGCGTGCAGCAGCAGGGCGAGACATTCGACGAGTTTCTCTGCGCGCTGAGAGAGACGGCGTCGTTCTGCGACTTCTGCACGTTCTGCATCGATGACCGGCTCCGAGACCGGCTGGTGGTCAGCGTTCGAGATGAAGACGCCAGGCGCCGGGTGCTGGAGATGCCGGAGCTGACGCTGCAGTCGGCAGCCGACATCTGCCGTGCGTCTGAGAACGCCAGCAGCAGCACGTCAGCCATCCGGCAGCCGGTGACGTCATCGCTGGCCAAGCTATCTCGATACCAGCGAGATAAGCGACCGTCGTCAGCGGTGAAGTCTGGGGAGAAGTGCGCCCGCTGCGGCAGAGCGGCTCACCGGGATGAGCAGAGGTGTCCGGCGGTTGGGCGCCCATCCTTTCACTGCCAGGAGCAGGGACACTTCGCGGCTGTTTGCCGGCGTCAGCATGCTGAACCACAGAG